TGTGGAGGGGGAGAGGTAGTGGTGGTGTACACACACACACACACACACACACACCTGCATTTACCCAAACAAAAAGGTACTTACACAGACTGATTAAGCATACAGTGTTCAGATTGGCAGAGCATTACCAGAGGGCTATTAAAAACTTGGATCAGTAAGGAAGAAACTAACCATACATGGGCACCTTTCTTAAACTATTCTAAAAATAGTCCTCGTTTACAGACAGCCCACCAACATGAAGCAAATACTCACCAGTAACCACACAACAAAAACACTAACCCAGGAACCTATCCTTGCAACATAGCCCGATGCCAGCTCTGTCCACATATCTATTAAAGTGGCACCATCATAGAACCTAATCACATTAGCCATGCCATCAGGGGCTCTTTCACCTGCACATCGACCAATATGAAATATGCCATCATGTGCTAGCAATGCCCCTCTGCCATGTACATTGGCCAAACCAGACAGTCTCTATGCAAAAAGATTAAGTGGACACAAATCTTACATCAGGAATCATAACATTCAAAAACCAGGAGGAGGAAGTAACAGACTTAAAGGTGGCAATTTTGCAATAGAAAAGCTTCAAAACCAGACTCCAACGAGAAACTGCTGAACTGGAATTAATTTCGCCATGTTAAGTATCCTCACACCTTCTTGTCAACTGTCTGAAGTGGGCCATCTTGATTATCACCACAAAATTTTTTTTTCCTCCTGCTGATAATAGCTCATCTTAATTAATTAACCTCTTAGAGTTGGTATAGCAACTTCCACCTTTTCATGTTCTCTGTATGTGTGTGTCTGTGTATGTATATATATATATATATATATATATATATATAAATAAATCTTCTTACTATATATTCCATTCTATGCATCTGATGAAGTGGGCTGTACTCCACGAAAGCTTATGCTCAAATAAATTTGTTAGTCTCTAAGGTGCCACAAGTACTTCTGGTCTTTCTAAAACCACAGTTCACACGTACCATAAAGACTGAACTCACCCCCTTCTTGGGGGTGGGGTTTATTACAAAGAATACAACAAAAAACAACACAGGTCAGCTCAGATCCAGGCTCAGTTGATGTCTAAGGATTATTAAGCCCATACTCTAGATCAGTGGTGGACAACCTGCAGGCTGCATGCGGCCCGTCAAGGTAATCCGCTAGCGGGCCGCAAGATAATTTGTTTACATTGACTGTCCGCAGGCACGGCTGCCCGCAGCTCCCAGTGGCCGCGGTTTGCCGTTCCTGGCCAATGGGAGCTACGGGAAGCGGCACGGGCCACGAGGACCATAATGGTAATATAATTTTTATATGTAAGATGGAATAATGAGTGGGGAGAGCTTCACATGGTAGGGAGCTCAATAGAAACTTTTGTCTCCAGGAGGTAAGATCATCTATGGAAGAAACCTGCATCCCTCTAGCTAATCCACTTTTCCTAAAGATATTTTAAACCAGCACTCACTGGGAGGGGCATATTTCATTTCCCCATTTCCCTCCCATTCACTCTGATAGAAAAGGCTCCAGTTCCCCTTATGCAGCAGGTTAGAACATTCCAAGATTGTCTAAACCTCTAAGTGTAGTAGACTGCATCCCTTTCAGCTTTGTACAAAAGTCCCCAAAACACCAATGGGTTTCACCTTTTGGGCTGAAATCCTGGCTTCTCTGAAGTCAGTGGAAGTTTTGCCAACAACTTCACTAAGGCCAGAATTTCACACATAACATTTTGCTAAGTGTCCCAAAATCAGAGTAATTTTTCTCTCTAAAATTACTATTACTGCATCTGAACTAGCCTTTGAAATGGGACATTTTAGATAACAGATTGCAAGGCTTTGTTTCTGTTTTGCTTCTTTCTTTAAGAAATTAGTCTGTAGTTGCAATTGTTCTCTTTCTGAAAAATTAGAATCCAGAATGAATGTGCATTTAGAAACAAACTCTGCATTCTACTTACGTGGTTGCTATGTTGGTCAAAAATTGATTTGATTTTCATGTGCATTCTTTTAGGATGGGACTTTCTTGGTGAGAGACAGCTCAAGAAAAACGTATACACATCCATACGTACTGATGGTATTATACAAAGATAAAGTATATAATATTCAGATTCGTTATCAGGAGCAAAATCAAGTTTACTTGTTAGGAACTGGCCTGAAAGGAAAAGAGGTACAGTATGTTTCTTTCTTTGCATCATCCCCTCCCCCTCAACCAGTGTCCAGCAGTTTTACCAAGAAGAATGTCACTTAGTTCACTGAAGGTATTCCACATACAAACTGGTGCAGTGAAGAGCAGAACTGGGCCCAGTGACTTAAATTCAAGAAAAACTGATTGCCTTATAATACCTCACAACTTCACTGGGTGAGTGAAATTTTGGACAAGAATGTTCCATGGAGATATCCAAGATGGGAAGACCAGTACTGGAAGCAAATGCTGATGCAGTGGTAGATGACCTCATGGTCTATTCCAGTACAGAATTTATCCAAAACTTAGTCACAAGAGAGCATCAAATAGTCACAGTCTAAATAAATAGTACTGCTTTAGCCTGAGAAGTAGTGAGAATCCTGACGACACCCCCCAACCGCCTTTGTTTTTAATCCACAGGATTTTTCTTCAGTGGCAGATATTATTGATTACTTTCAAAGAACACCCCTTCTGCTGATTGATGGAAAAGACCGCGGTTCAAGAAACCAATGCAAGTTAACATACGCTGCAGGATCTACTTAGAAGAAAGCTTAATGTCTGTGATCAACGGTCTACAAGAACATACAAACCTCATGATATTTCCATTTGTATTCAGCTAACTGAAATTATGGATTAAAATTCCTTTTGATTTTAATGAAAAAATATAATTATCTCATTTTAAAGTGTGTTTTTAAAAAAACAGATTTGCAAAATACTTTCTACAATGTATTTATTACTCTCCATTGTTCATACACTGCATGAAAACTCTACATGAGAGTGATGTCATTTTCCAACCTTCATCTCACATGTGAAGTGTTCTCCATTCCATATTGCAGGATCACATGTGGTTTACACAGCAGAGAATTACATTGCTTTCTTACAAAGCAAAGCTATGCAAACTATTGTTCATGTCGAGTTTATGGTACCAATTACATTAAGCTGCAAACTGAAATCAATTAATGTCTGTATAATGCTTGTACAGTACAGAGTAACTGCTAGTGACTGTTACCTGTATTGAAAGATTGTATTGTTTACTTTGATATATTTTATATAAGTTGATATAAAATTTAAAAAACCGTGTGTAAATTAAGTCAATAAAAATGCCATATGTCACAGTCCACTTTTCAGTAGAGACCTGCACTTTAGGGCTACATTTATTATAATGGTAGGAACTATGTGACTTGTTAGTTTAATGGTCTATATGGTATATGTTCCTTCTTCTACATGATCTAGAGACAACTTTCATTCCCAAATCCGTCCCTGCATAGATTGGGTCCCAAGAATGCATAACCTTGCACCCACTCCTTTCTGCAAAGAACAGGCTCTGAAAACGGCAATGTAACTGGGTCTCACCGCATCTGGTGATAGACCCTGTCTCTATCTCAGTTTCTTTACTCTCAGGGTTCTCAAAAACTATTCCTGACTTTTGTGCATATCAAATAAACACCTCTCCCAGAATCCAGTACATGAAAACAGCTCAACAAACAAAGACAGACATCCAACGCCTAGCATCAGGTCTTACTCAGGGAGTGAGATCACATGGCTCAGTCACCAATTGTACTCTCTTGATGCGGGTCAAGAGAAAATTAACTTCTTCTGACCATCAGTAGGAGCCACAGGCTGGACCCCTAAACAAATGGCATCTCCCTTCAAATACCTACCTGTACTGGCCTGTCCAGACTACTTTCTTCTAGAATGACCCTTCCTCAGAACCTCCTAATTCCCTCTTCAGGAATTTTGCTCCTGTCCTTCAGGCCTTACCTTTAGCTAGTAAGCTCCAATCAGGCTTTTACCTTTAGCTGGTGTGGCAAACCCAGACCCAGGTCCAGGTCCCTCTGCTGCTAGGTACCCTTCAAGAACCTCCTTCCTTCCTGGAGGTCTATCTCCTTCCATCCTGAGAAGACTCACTTTTATATAAAGCACAACCCCTGACTACCATCATGTGATGTTTAGTCACCTGACCAAGCCACAGGCTTACACCCAAACTCATTACCCAGGGAGTAGACAACCAAGCAGGGTGGGGCTGATAGGCTTGGGATAAGTGCCTATTCCACATTCTTTATGAAACTGACATTTTCTGTCTTAAAATATAAACTGTAATTCAGAATCAGTTATAAATATTAGGCCCCATAGTTTTTCCCACTGACTTAATAAGGAACAGGGCGGGTCCCATTATTTGTCTAAGATCTTATATTTAATTCCATTTTCTGGCATGTGCATGGTTTGAGTCTTGCTTCTAAGTTTGTCAGCCTTACTCCTCCCTTAGTATCTTGTAGCTGGCTGCATTAGGGGGTCACTACAGGCAGAGGAATGGCTTTCAGGAAGTCACCTGCTATTTTACTCATAGCTATAGGTTTGTAGTGAGGACGACAGTTGGGCAAATAAAGCGTCATGCCATTTTTTTCCCTCCCTGTGCTGTTTTCTTGCCCTTGAGCTCATCTGGGCTTAGCACTACCTTTCCAAGTTGGGAAACAATGATCTAGCTGGTAGTAAATAGTTCTAATTTTGTTACCAGTTGGTCTCGATTCAGATCAGTTAACTTGACATGAAATACATCATATCCTATAAACAATTTCCTGAGCCATCTAGTTTCCCATGTCACTGTTCTCAGCAACCTCAGCTGTTTAATAAAAAGGGGGATTTTGGAAAATGTATAGGCTATGGACCAATTATTTGCCTTTTTATTATTTTAGTTGTTTCTGAGTTATTCAAATATTTGTTTTTCACATATTGAAACATTCTTCAGATACTACTTTTCATACTCTGATAACACAGAATGTCATATTATAAAAGCTTCAACCAGAGCAGAAAACCATGCTGAAATTTTAATGGCTTAAAGAATTGGTAATGGAAGCATCAGCATGGAACTTGATGGAATTAGGTAATTCCTCAAAATTTGTTTTCTTTTCTTCTACCTCCCTTGAAACTTTGGTCTTCACAGGATGACTGAAGTTCAAAGTAAGGTCACAGAGAAGCAGTTGGCTTTGCACTGTTAGAAAAAGTACAGTATACAGTCATGAACATTTACTGTATAATAGGTATCATATGGGTCAAAATGTACTGTAGAGGTTTGTTTTTTTTTTACTGTAGAGTATTCATCATTCAACTCTTCTGTAAATTAAAAGGATAATAGCATTTCTCCAAGGCATTTAAATACAATTTGTTATTAGTGTATTACTATATATCTTTTGTTAGGAAGCTATGGTATGCACTTGCTAAAGAATTAACTGTTATCTAGCAGGACTTTTCCATGTTTGGTTAATATTAGCCTATTTTTGTACAGTAAATATGATTTTATTAATTTTTCACTATAAGGGGACAAATTCTTGTTTCATAAAATAGAAGGAACAACATAGTCACAAAATCTGCATGAGTTCATTAGCAGCTGTGAAATGTACTCAGAGGTAAATAAAAGATAGAACAGATTATTTAGCATAAGTAGATAGATATATTTCAAGGGACCACTCAAGGTGAAGTGGCTCACTAACAATCCACCAGTCACGGGAGGGAAAGAAAGAGGGGGAGGCAACTGGGGGTAGTGAGGGGGGCATTGTTAGTGGGTTACAGATTGTTATAGAAAGCCATAATTCCAGTGCAAAGACTGAATAGAGACACTGGATATAACAATCCATAACCCCACCCCCTGCCCTCGCCTTAGTCCCCCCCACCCGCCCCAGGCCCTGCTTCCTTTCCCTCTCCCATGACTGGAGAGGTGTTAACAGACCACTTCATCTTGAATGGTTGCTTGAAATATGTGTTAAGTACTACTAAACAATCCTTGTATTTAGCTGACATTCTGAGTACATTTCCCAGACCCGAAGAAGGGCTCTGTGTAAGCTTGAAATCTAATCTCTCACCACCAGAAGTTGATCCCGTATTATCTCACCCGCCTTGTGTCTCTAATATCCTGCGACCGACATGGCTACAACAACATTGCATCAAACAATTCAGTCATTTCCCCATTAGTTTGATGATAGATACACTCAGAATTACCATTTAGCTTCTTCAACTCACTGGACATTTTATCAATATTTCTAATTGCAGTTTCCAGGCTGAACTGCTGGTCAGCAACATCACTCTTAAACATCTATAGGAAACACAAATAACATCAGAATTGGTATTATATATGTGCAATCTTTGAGCATTAGTAGTTTTGAATTTTTCATTCAATTTTTTTTTAAAAAGTGCATTTTTGAAAACGAGAGACATGCAAAAAAAATTTTTTTAAGTGTTCCAGTTTTCATCAAAACCAAAAATGTTGGTTTTATGTTTTATGTTTCCCATCAGGCATGACCACTTTTTCTGTTATTCCTTTTTACAACTGGATGCAATAGAATGAAAATTGCCCAGGGTTCTCTCTCCTCCCCCTAAATGGGGTTAACTTAAATGTTCAGAAAAAAAATACCTCTTTTTATTATTTTAATTAAAACAACTTAGTAGCAAAAACACGTAAAAATCAGCAAGATTCTTATGAGGTTTTCTCTTTCATTTGTCTGGTTTAAAAATACCCCATTGTGAGCTTATAAAAGAAGAATGAGAAAATGTAGTGCCAAAAGATACTTAATACACTGAAAGCAAAACTTGTAATGAAAAAACAACAAGGAATCCTTGTGGCACCTTAGAGACTAACAAATTTATTTGGGCCTCAGCTTATCTACACTGGCAATTAACAGCGCTGCAACTTTCTCCATCAGGGGTGTGAAAAAACACCCTCCTGAGCGCAGCAAGTTGCAGCGCTGTAAAGCACCAGTGTAAACAGTGCCACAGAACTGGGAGCTATGCCCCTGGTTGAGGTGGTTTTTTTAGAGTGCTGGGAGAGAGCGCTGCGCCATGACCACACAAGGCATGTTAAAGAGTTGCCGCTTTAGCATTGCCAGTGTAGACTAGCCGGCTACCACTCTGAAACTTGTAATGAAAAGGAGTACTTGTGGCACCTTAGAGACTAACCAATTTATTTGAGCATGAGCTTTCGTGAGCTACAGCTCACTTCATCGGATGCATACCGTGGAAACTGCAGCAGATATTATATACACACAGAGATCATGAAACAATACCTCCTCCCACCCCACTGTCCTGCTGGTAATAGCTTATCTAAAGTGATCATCAAGTTGGGCCATTTCCAGTACAAATCCAGGTTTTCTCACCCTCCACCCCCCTACACACAAACTCACTCTCCTGCTGGTAATAGCCCATCCAAAGTGACAACTCTCTTCACAATCTGCTGCAGTTTCCACGGTATGTATCCGATGAAATGAGCTGTAGCTCACGAAAGCTCATGCTCAAATAAATTGGTTAGTCTCTAAGGTGCCACAAGTACTCCTTTTCTTTTTGCGAATACAGACTAACACGGCTGTTACTCTGAAACTTGTAATGAAAGTTAATCCTAAATTATACGTATTAGCCACAAGATGGAGCCATTACAAAGTTAATATAGACAAGAGAAATTAAATATATTAATGAAAACTTATACCATATGACAGATGCTTATTAATACATATAACTATCCTGACAATTTTATAGCTAAGATCCTACTACTCATTTTTTATCTCCTGACCAAACTTTTTTTTTTCTTTTTTTAGTTTCTAGGGGGGAAAGACATTTTTTGAGAAATAAGAGCATTAAACCATTTGAAAGTAGCAAATTTTAAGACTGTTCCAATTTTTAACTGCCTGTACTTTTTTTTAAACAGAGCTGCTTCCAGAAAAACATACACAAAAAGAAATTTCAGATGCATTGATTTTTTCTTGTCATTCTAAGTTTATATATAGTTTGTGAGAATCACCTTGGAAGTATAACAAAGTGTAATAATTTATTTGGAAAAGCTCTGGGAAGTTTCCTAAATGAGCAATATGTTTATGCCACCAAGCGTTCTTAGGTGATAAATTGCAACAATAAAAACAAACTTACCTTTAACATAGATGTTTTGTCCAGTTTCTTATTCCCGCAAGCTGGGGACCTTGTTATCATGTAAACATCATTAACCAGCGACAAAGGAGTACTAAAGAGAAGGGGGAAAGTGTGCCTCATATTTTTGCAGTAAAGTAAAATATCCTTGCATTGCAGAGACAAATTAAAATGTAGGACTGGGTAACACTGATTACATTTTTATTTTCATTAGTGTCATTTCAAATGAGTGGGTACCTTTTTTAAATAAGAAATCTTTTACTTTTCTAAATCTAAATGTTTCTATTAACTGATTTGGCCTTCCTTTAAACTGCTACGAGTTAAGGACTGACCATAAACTACTGAAAAGGTACCTTTGCAGTAGTTTCAGCCATGATCCTGAGATCAAAATTATGAACATTCTGAAGGTTGGTCTTCAATTCCTCCTACAAAATCATAAAACACTAATAGTCTGTGTTTATATGACACCTTTTATCTAAGAATCTAAAAACATTTTACCCAAATGGGTAATTATCACCAATTTACAGATGGGTAAACTAAGGCACAGAGAGAATATGTAATTTACCCAATGTCACAGAGCAAGTCAGTGGCAAAGTTGGGAATAACCACCAGATCTCCTCAGATCCAGCCTCCTGGTCTAACCACTAAACAACACTCCCTCACTTTGACATTTAAGTTTGTGTTGTGTGTCATCACTGGAAACAGAAAATTTCATGAACTTGTGGGGGGAAAACAGGCCTGTTTTGATGTTCATGAGGTACCTATATGATTCACAAAGGCTATACATGGTGAAAGGACACGGATTTGATCTGTGCAGGGCAGCCAAAATGCACACAGCCCTGTTTTGATGATCACAAGAAGCAGGCAACAATGAGATGAGAGCCCTGTAGAGTGTTTGCAGAAGGGCTCAATATGAACACGAAAAACCCAATGCCAGTGTTTGCCTGAAGGGAGTCCCCCTGTATGGTCTTGGTTTGGGGATCTCCTAGTCAAGACTCTGGGATATATATAAAATCAGCGAGGTGTAGCTGCAGGGAACTCAGACACAGCCCCACCTCACACACGCACAAGCTAAGGTGCAGCACAGCGCCCTGAGTGCTGGCTCCCCAAAAGCAGGAGCCCTCTGGCCTGAACGTCCTGCCCCGAGGAGAGCCCTGTTTGGACCAAGTAAATGCCGGGAGTGGCAGTGCTGGACCCCTCAGCACTCCACCCTGGGACTTGCACTCCTTTGTCCACCCTGCTGGAGCCCGGTAGCTCCCCAGCAGGCCTGAGCCTCCCCCAAAACCCAGTGGGAGACTCGCCTTTCTCCACAAAACAAGATAAACCTGCTGCCACCGGAAACAGGAAGTGCCATGGCTTCCTGTGAGCCCAAAGCAAGGCATGCTGGGAACTGTAGTTCAGCTGACAGCTCTGGGCTGCTGATTCAGCAGTTTTGGTGACCTCTAGGTGCCAAGCAGCTGCCCCTCCCCCAAACTGCACAAGACCCTGTTTGTACCTTGAGCTGGGTCCAAACATAGCCCTATATACACAGCCTTTAGGGGACACCTTTTCAAGCTGTTCTATAAAAGGTGTCCCTTTTTAGAGGACATGTCCCCTTTTGAGAACATGAAGGCCAGACATTTATTTTTAAGTAAATAAAAACTGATATTTTCACTTAAATCAGACAACTTCAAGAGATGGGGTTTTACAGGGGCTGGGGAGGAGGGGAATAATAAATTTTGCAGGAGGATTAAAGAGGGAGGAGGAAAGGTAAAAGGGATAGAGGAGGCAACTAAAGAACTGTGTTAAGACTGGACGTCTACAGAAAAAGTTTCATCTCATCGTATTGAGACATTATTTATATTGAAACAACAAGGATTCCGGTGGCACTTTAAAGACTAACAGATTTATTTGGGCATAAGTTTTCATGAGTAAATGATCCTTCAGATGCATCTGAAGAAGTGTTTTTTTACCCACGAAAGCTTATGCCCAAATAAATCTGTTAGTCTTTAAGGTGCCACCAGACTCCTTGTTGTTTTTGTGGATTCAGACTAACACAGTTACCCCTTGATACTTGATTATTTATACAGAAAACCAGACTGGCCTCTGGAGATTTGGAAGTTGTTGCATAGTACAGCAGCTGACTCCTTAGCGATAACCAATTATTTTCATCTCTTTACACTCGCACAGATGTGTGTAGATTTCATTTATACTGATTTCAGACCTTGTCAAGGACCTGGCTTGGAGTAAGACAAGGAAGGCACTTTGCTACATTTCATTATCCACACTGTTATAGCAAATACCTGGCTTCCACCGAAAACAGCAAGAATTGCTAACACAGACACACAATGGCAGAAGGTACAGAGCAAGGAGGGTTCAATCACTATTGCATTGCAACTGGTGTTCAAACGTTAAGTATAGAGGGATTCATCCTTTCATGGCTGCTGTTCTCTGAGGAACGGGTAAACACTGGTTGTGTAGTACTTGTGGCCAGTGACACTGCACAATCACTCTGAAGAGGAATGATTGCTAGCAGCATTGCTCAACATATGTCAGGCACTAGTCAGGCTGATCACTGTTCGTTTTCACTTCAGGCTTCCTGCTTGGGCATTAGTGGGAAAAGGGATCATTGGTGCCTCAGAGGAGATCGAGCATGTGGAATTTCTTGTGTGTATACTAAATAGACATACAATGAGAGGAAAAGGCAGTTTGTGGTTTATATACTTTATATTCTCTCTCTTCCTCTTTCTGCTGTATGTTTTCACAAAGTTTTAACTTGGAATGAAAGTGCTCTAGCATGACAACAGTGAAAGCTAAAATACAGTACATGTTAGAACCCCACTTCTTTGTGTTGAAGAGCAAGTTAACTGTTAACTGTTACTGTAACAGAGAGAGACAATACCCTATACTGCTCAGCCTGAGGTTTCTTTGAAGCTGAGAAATGTAAAAGAGGAAACACTTCACACATACACTAGTTCCCATACTACAATCTTGCAGCTTAAGGTCCCACAGAAACACCCGTGCAAGTGAATTAGTCTTGTCCTTTCTGTGGATCTGTAAGAAAAAAGACAGCTCCTTATCTCAATCTTTATAGAAGTTGGTGATTTTTCTGGAAGAGTCCATGAGTGTGGCAATCTAGTGTGTGCAAAGAAAATATAGGTGCAAATGGAATGTGAGGATTTCAGTGAGCAAAACCTCAAATACAATACAAATTTGTGATATGGGATTCTGAAATTTCATTTATTAGTTTACAGCTATAATATTTTCTTTAACAAGACATATAGCACAAAGCTGAAAATGTTCATTCTAATAATAATCCATTCAGAAATCATTTAAAAACTTGAAAACACTCCACTTCCAGAGTAAAATGCATTACAGGTAGGTTCAATGCAGCAACATAATTAAAATGAAGGTACATTAATGCCCATGTTCCTATTATGAATTCCTGACATGAAGTACTCCCTTTTAGAAAACAAATTGTTTAGATCTTGCTGGATTTTCCATTTATTCATGAAGGATGGAATTCACAAAGTAACTTATTTCAGAGTAGCAGCCGTGTTAGTCTGTATTCGCAAAAAGAAAAGGAGTACTTGTGGCACCTAACAAATTTATTTGAGCATAAGCTTTCGTGAGCTACAGCATCCAATGAAGTGAGCTGAAGCTCAGGAAAGCTTATGTTCAAATAAATTTGTTAGTCTCTAAGGTGCCACAAGTACTCCTTTTCTTTTTACAAAGTAACTTAAGTGCCTCACTCACTTTGAGATCAATGAAATCAAGCATCTGGTGCTTATCTTCATAATTAGACTGCTAATTGGCAATTAAAAGTTCTAATTCTCAGCCTCAGACTGAGAATTGCCAGCCAGATTGAACATTAACTCCTTTTTGAGGAGACCGTGAACAATAATAGCGAAGTATATGAAGAAGAATATTGAGACTCCATTTTGATATCTGAATGATATGACCAAACAAACCACTAGTAAAATATGCTGTGCCCAGTGAGTGAAAAAACATGTAAATGATTGTCCAAAGCCTTTACCCACCCACTGCTAGACAAATACTGTCTGGCTAATGCCGTCTGTCTGGTTTCTAAGCCCACAGCAACATCAAGCTTTACAATCTCAGTAGCAATTTCATTTACTTCTGCACCTCCACCTAAACAGGTTACATTAGAAACATCCTGTGTCTGCATTACAGTTGACTGTTTTCATTTATATGAAAATATTTTTAAACAGTATCAATACCATAGGCTTATTTTGTGTAGTCTGTGGATTCCTCAACATTTGCATATAAAGCTGTTCTGAAGTTGCTTTTATATTTTAAATGGTACTTTTCAGTTTAGGTATATTGTAATTTAGGCTCAAAAATATCTGGCACTAAATGTGTAAATTATTTAATGCACCTTAAGACAGAAAGATGCAATATTTAACTATAGGTGTATTCTTCAGTTGAAAATACCTACTAATATTTTCCCTGCTTACTGCACAAAATTATGTAGAACAGAAATAATTTCACTTACTCTGCAGTAGCATTGCTAGCTGTAGCTTCATTTTTACCTTGTACTAATTCAGGCAAGCAACTATGGCTCACCATGATTAGTAGGAAGTATAGTACATTCTGCACAGGAAACCGTCTTAGTATTAAGCCACTGTAAGCTTTGTTTCCTTGGCGATAGGAGCACTTCACTCCTCTGAAATTAACTCCATAGACAGGTATGTTGTGTTACGTTCCATACCTCGCCACCAGTCAGATGAATTCCACTTGTGCAGCACCAGAGAAATTATGTCTACACTATAATCTCAGTAAAAAACAAATAAAAATCTCACTTAGTGTTTTTTACATGACTTTGAACAAGATTAATGATTTCTAACAAGTCACTAAATTTAGCAGAAGATATTGAAAGGATAAAATAGCGTTAAGAAAACCTCAAGTACTACATTTATATTTAATCCCTGAATAGATGCACAATTCCCACTCCATCCTTTTCCGTTTAAAGAATATTTGTCAAAGGAATCAATTTTGGAGTTCACTACACGAGTCCCTTCTAATCCTCTTCAAGCACTTCCATATCAAGGGAGATTATACATTATTTTTCCACTGAACCCATATGTCATAAATATAAAGGGAAGGGTAAACCCCTTTGAAATCCCTCCTGGCCAGGGGAAAGCTCCTCTCACCTGTAAAGGGTTAAGAAGCTAAAGGTAACCTTGCTGGCACCTGACCAAAATGACCAATGAGGAGACAAGATACTTTCAAAAGCTGGGAGGAGGGAGAGAAACAAAGGGTCTGTGTGTCTGTCTATATGCGGGTTTCTGCCAGGGATAGACCAGGAATGGAGTCTTAGAACTTTTAGTAAGTAATCTAGCTAGGTATGTGTTAGATTATGATTTCTTTAAATGGCTGAGAAAAGAATTGTGCTGAATAGAATAACTATTTCTGTCTGTGTATCTTTTTTGTAACTTAAGGTTTTGCCTAGAGGGGTTCTCTATGTTTTTGAATCTAATTACCCTGTAAGATATCTACCATCCTGATTTTACAGGGGGGATTTCTTTATTTCTATTTACTTCTATTTTTATTAAAAGTCTTCTTGTAAGAAACTGAATGCTTTTTCATTGTTCTCAGATCCAAGGGTTTGGGTCTGTGGTCACCTATGCAAATTGGTGAGGCTTTTTATCCAACATTTCCCAGGAAAGGGGGGGGTGCAAGTGTTGGGAGGATTGTTCATTGTTCTTAAGATCCAAGGGTCTGGGTCTGTAGTCACCTAGGCAAATTGGTGAGGCTTTTTACCAAACCTTGTCCAGGAAGTGGGGTGCAAGGTTTTGGGAAGTATTTTGGGGGGAAGGACGCGTCCAAACAGCTCTTCCCCAGTAACCAGTATTAGTTTGGTGGTGGTAGCGGCCAATCCAAGGACGACGGGTGGAATATTTTGTACCTTGGGGAAGTTTTGACCTAAGCTGGTAAAGATAAGCTTAGGAGGTTTTTCATGCAGGTCCCCACATCTGTACCCTAGAGTTCAGAGTGGGGGAGGAACCTTGACATGGTGGCATAGTGGTGGGATTAACCTGAAATCATTTTGAAATCCAGTTGAGATTTTTTGAACTAGAAATACAGATTTTAAAAAGGAATTTTTTTTTCCTTTGGAAAGGAAGTCCAGAAAGCAGCTGAAACTGAAAGCAGCTTGTTTTTCTCTGCTTTGTGGCCAAGCAGAGACAAAAGGGGATTATCTTTGTGAATTGCAGGTTTTCTTTGCCTGGAGGCAGGGTACTTAACTCCTGCAGGGAAATTCACAGTCTTCCAACCCAGAGTTTTTTTTTTTCTTTTCTTCCTAAAAGTAAATAGGGGGTGTGTGTTCTACCCATTTGCTTTTTCTTTGGGCTGGGTAAGCAGGTTTCCAAGTAGTTGGAGGTTTTTTGCTTTAATTTGGGCCCAGAGCAGAGACAAGGGAATTGTCTTTTTCTGTAGGCTGACAATCACTATCAGAGAATAAGTATTCTATTCCAGCACAGCAAAGTTTTACAGCCAAGTTTTGTTTGTTTATTTCTAAACCTCGGGTGTAAAGTTAGTTAAAAACAGAGAGGTTAGAATGACAAAGTCCACGGCTCGACTACAGCTGGAATTAGCCAAATTTCAGGCTGAGGAAAGACAAAGGGAACATGAAAGACAGATAGAACTCATGCGGCTGGAGAAGGAGGTACAGGAGGCTGCCCACAAGAGGGAAATGGAGGCGAGGAAGCATGTGGAGGAGGAGAAGGAAAAAGAGAGGAAGCATGTGGAGGAGGTGGAGAGGATAAAGGCCCAGCAGAATATACCAACAAACCCTAGCAATCCTTCTCCAGGTACCACTTCCCATCCCAGAAAGTTTCCCACCTACAAGGCAGGTGATGATACTGAGGCCTTCTTAGAAAACTTCGAAAGGTCCTGCCTTGGGTACAACATCTCTACTGACCAATACATGGTAGAGCTGAGGCCGCAGCTCAGTGGACCCTTAGCTGAGGTGGCAGCTGAAATGCCTAAAGAACACATGAACAAGTATGAACTGTTTAAATCCAAGGCGAGAGTCAGAATGGGGATAACACCCGAGCAGTCTCGTCGGAGGTTCAGAGCCCTAAGGTGGAAACCAGACGTGTCATTTACCCGACATGCCTACCACACTGTGAAACATTGGAATGCCTGGATATCAGGAGCAAGTGTTGAATCTCCAGTAAATTTGCCCTTCCTAATGCAAATGGAACAATTCTTAGAGGGTGTTCCTGAGGAAATAGAAAGATACATCCTAGACGGGAAGCCCAAAACTGTAATCGAGGCAGGAGAGATTGGAGCCAGATGGGTGGAGGTGGCAGAGAAGAAGAAAACTGGTCACAGTTGGAGCGGAGACCAGAAGGGACAACCCCAGTGAAGGGTTCATGTTTAGCTATTCCACCTGGAAGCAGGCAGGGCACACCCTGACTGTTTTGTAGAAGCAATGCACACATTGCTCTATCCAAGGACAAGGGCTAGATATGAACCATGAGAACTTGATTGTTGGGACAGCAACTGTGGGAAGCTTTCTTAGCCTGGGCTCAAGAACCAGGATTGTAGTAGATAAAGGATGGTAAATAAGTATATTAATCAACGTCATACATTCCTTTGTGTATCTTTTTGCGGTAGCAGTGTGTAATGCTTAGGGGGGAGAAATATAATAAAAGGAGAAGGTGGAAGGCAGGGGGGCAGAACAGCCCATCTCAGCTGACCAGCCTGCTTGCTTGCATAAAGCTGTGTTCTGTCTCATCATTGAACCGCCACACCCCAGACCCCACCCTATTACCGGGGGCCGCCCAAAGCCCCACCTACCTCCCAAAGAACCCTCCAGACCCCTTATCGTCCCACCACCCCGTTCTCCAGCAACCCTCCTCGCCCCAGTGACCCGTCAGCTGGACGATGTTTTAAATGTAACGAGCTGGGGCATGTAAAGGCCAACTGCCTCAAGAACCCCAACAGATTACAGTTCGTTGCACTGGAATCACACCAGAGGTCCACAGGCCCAGATACCTCCCAGATACCCTTGGAGCGGAGGGAAACTGTGAGTGTGGGCGGGAAGAAGGTCACCGCATGGAGGGACACCGGAGCACAAGTGTCAGCTATCCATGCTTCCTTAGTGGACCCCAATTTAATCAACCCAGAGATCCAAGTGACGATTCAACCCTTCAAGTCCAACTCTTTCAATTTGCCTACAGCCAAGTTGCCTGTCCAGTACAAGGGCTGGTCAGGAATGTGGACTTTTGCAGTCTATGATGATTATCCCATCCCCATGCTGTTGGGGGAAGACTTGGTCAATCATGTGAAGCAGGCCAAGAGGGTGGGAACGGTCACCCGCAGCCAGGCTAAACAAGCCGTGAGGCCTAGCTCTGCCCCAGAAACTTCTATCAGGACCCAGTCAGAGGTGATGGACCCGGACCCCAGGCCAATGTCTGCAACAGCAGTAGTGGATCCAGTCCCAGAGACCCAGATGGAACCAGTCCCAGAACCGGAACCAGCCAAACAACCAACACCAGACCCAGTGTCAGCACTGAATCCAGTACTTGCAACCTCAACACCAGAGGGCCCCACCGACCCTGAACTGGCAGCAGCCGATAACCCGACACAAGAGGCTCAGCCGGAGCCTGAATCCCAACATAGTGCACCAGCGGAGAGCGGTTCACAGTCAACAGAAACAGCTCCATCCCCTATATCGCTTCCAGAGGGACCAAGCCTAGGTCCACAATCCAATGAGGGACTGATGTCTCCAGCATCAAGGGAACGGTTCCAGACCGAACAGGAAGCAGATGAAAGCCTCCAGAGAGCTTGGATGGCGGCACGGAGCAACCCACCGCCTCTCAGCTCTTCTAATCGATCCAGGTTTGTTGTAGAAAGAGGACTTTTATACAAGGAAACTCTTTCTGGTGGACACCAGGAAGACTGGCATCCTCAGAGACAGTTGGTAGTTCCAACTAAATACCGGGCCAAGCTCTTGAGCTTAGCCCACGATCACCCTACTGGCCATGCTGGGGTGAACAGGACCAAAGACCGTTGGGGGGGGTCATTCCACTGGGAGGGAATGGGCAAGGATGTTTCTACCTATGTCCAGTCTTGTGAGGTGTGCCAAAGAGTGGGAAAACCCCAAGACCAGGTCAAAGCCCCTCTCCAGCCACTCCCCATCATTGAAGTTTCATTTCAGCGAGTAGCTGTGGATATTCTGGGTCCTTTTCCGAAAAAGACAGCCAGAGGAAAGCAGTACATACTGACTTTCATGGATTTTGCCACCCGATGGCCGGAAGCAGTAGCTCTAAGCAACACCAGGGCTAAAAGTGTGTGCCAGGCACTAGCAGATATTTTTGCCAGGATAGGTTGGCCCTCCAACATCCTCACAGATGCAGGGACTAATTTCCTGGCAGGAACTATGAAAAACCTTTGGGAAGCTCATGGGGTAAATCACTTGGTTGCCACTCCTTACCACCATCAAACAAATGGCATGGTGGAGAAGTTTAATGGAACTTTGGGGGCCATGATACGTAAATTCGTAAATGAGCACTCCAATGATTGGGACCTAGTGTTGCAGCAGTTGCTCTTTGCCTACATTGC